TGTGTGTGTGTGTGTGTGTGTGTGTGTGTGTGTGTGTTGCTGCTCTGCATGAATGAGGTGTGAATGGGTGAATGACTCGAGCTTTGAGGGATGTAGAGATTTATAAGTTCAGTCCATTTATTCAAAAACAACAACTAAATAATGCCCAATATCACAAATGTTACATTTGTCTCAGTGGACTTCACAGTTTGTACAGAATATCAGTATGACAATACGACACCCTCTGTCCTTAGACCCTCTGTCCTTAGACCCTCTGTCCTTAGACCCTCACATCGTACAAGGAAAAACTTCCTTGTACGATGGAACATCTGCTCCTCCTTGGCCTCCCAGCTCAGCTGTCCCTGAGCCAGGTCGTCCCTCTGCTCCTCATTAAATTACATTGCATTTAGCTGACGCTTTTATCCAAAGCGACTTACAATAAGTGCGTTCGTCCAACAAAATACAACTTGAAGAAAACAGAATCATAAAGTACATCAGGTTTCATAGAGCAAAAACATTTCAAGTGCTACTCAACTGGCTTTAGGTAAGCCAGTCCTTTATTAGTATATAAGTGCTTTGTTAATAGTTCTATCGCTCGAAGTGGAGTCGAAAGAGATGAGTTTTCAGTCTGGAAGGTGTGTAAGCTATCTGCTGTCCTGATGTCAATGGGGAGCTCATTCCACCATCTTGGAGCCAGGACAGCAAACCCACGTGTTTTTGCCGTTGGGAATTTTGGTCCCCCTCGCAGCGTGGGCGCAGCGTGGGCGCAGCGAGTCGTTTGGCTGATGCAGAGCGTAGTGCACGCGCTGGGGTGTACGGTTTAACCATGTCCTGGATGTACAAAGGGCCAGATCCATTCGCAGCATGGTAAGCAAGTACCAGTGTCTTGAAGTGGATTCTAGCAGTTACTGGAAGCCAGTGAAGGGAGCGGAGGAGCGGAGTGGTGTGGGAGAATTTAGGAAGGTTGAAGACCAGACGAGCCGCTGCATTCTGGATGAGCTGCAGAGGTCGGATGGCACATGCAGGTAGACCAGCCAGGAGGGAGTTGCAGTAGTCTAGGCGTGAGATGACGAGAGCCTGGACCAGAACCTGCGTCGCTTTCTGTGTCAGCTGGGGACGTATCTTCCTGATGTTGTAAAGCGTGTATCTGCAGCAACGGGTTGTAGCAGCGATGTTTGCAGTGAAGGACAGGTTGTTATCTAGGGTCACACCCAGATTCCTTGCAGTCTGAGTCGGGGAAACAACTGAGGTCCGTCAGATGGACCTTGGTCTCCCAGCTCAGCTGTCCCTGAGCCAGATCGTCCCTCTGCTCCTCCTCCTGCTTCCATCGTGTCTCCGTCAGATGGACCTTGGTCTCCCAGCTCAGCTGTCCCTGAGCCAGGTCGTCCCTCTGCTCCTCCTCCTGCTTCCATCGTGTCTCCGTCAGATGGACCTTGGTCTCCCAGCTCTCCTGGTTCTGGGCCAGGTCTTTGGAGAACCTCTCCTTCTGCTCATCCAAATGGTTATTCAGCTGCTTCACCTGCCTCTCCTTCAGTTGGACTTCCTTCTCCAGGCTCTGGTTCTTCTCGGCCGAGTCCTTTTCCTCATCCTCTGCCATTTTTAATTTCGTCTCCTCCTTAAATTCGGTCTCTCTGCTCAGCTGTTTCTGAGCCAGGTCGTGCTTCTCCTGAGTCACGTCTTCGTATTTCCTCTCATCTGTAGTTTCTCTCTCTCCCAGGTGTCGTGTTTCTCTGCCAGGTTATTGGTGAACTTTTCCTCGCACTGAAGGAGTTCTTGCTCTCTTCTCTGCAGCAGGTTGAAGGTCACCAGGTTGTCCTCGTTGTTCTGGTCTGAGAGCTTCTGCTGCTGTGTCACCATGTGGTCCAGCTGCTGCTCGTGTTGGCTCTCTGCAGCTTCCATCTGCTCCTTCAGACGTGAGATGTCGGCCACGCGGTACTGGATGATGTCAAAGAGCCTTTTGTTGTCTTGGTCGAACCCTGAGTTCCTGTTACTCAGGATGTCCTCAAGACCTTTGACATTGTCTTTTTCTTTGCGCATCCTGTGGCCAAAGCCAGCCCTCTCCTCCCCTAAAGCCATGTGAAACTCATCCAGGCCGTATATCCATCCATTTCTGCGGTGGAACTGCCTGTAAGCTCCATCAGCTACAGCTCCATGGTCAAAGGGCCTGGCGTTCCCCCTCTGGTTCTGGTCGGTTCTTCTATCCATGGCACAGTCTGTAGACTTGTGCTGTGCGTAGGTACAAATCATCTGTGTGTCCGTGGAAGAAGTTGTCTGTCTAGAAGACTGTGAAGGTGAATGCGTCTGTCTCTTACCGATCTGCAGTGAAGAATGGATGCTGATCCTCTGATCCTCAGGAGTGGAGTGCACCAGCTGGGCGTAAAAAAGTAGGGCTTAACTCTAACGTCGGGCTTAGCTACGTCCGACGTAGTGATTCGAATTTACGCCGAGTGCACCAAGCCTGACTAGTCTCGGGCGTAGCTGCGCCTGGTCTTAAGATGCGCGTCCACGTGAATACTCGCGAAACAGTAATTGTTGCCAAGCAACGCCATTTTACCATTTTACAGACTCAGAGGACCGCAGAGAAGAGGGAATTCCCTCACCCACAGCTTCAGCGATGACTCAAGGGGAATCCCAAATGGCCACACCCCGAAAGAGAAAAAGGGATTTGTCAGAGCTACAGCGGGAACTGACGGAGAAAGAAATCGTTCGTGTGGAGGTGGAGACCGTCAAACTGAGAGCGGAACACGAAAAAATTGAGCTGGAGAAATTGAGACTCCAAATAATAATTCTTAAGAATCAGCTACTAATGAAGAAGACAATGTTTCACCGTTCTGTAATCATGTTGTACTTGTTTTTTATCTCAATTTCATGTTAATAGTTCTCCAAAATGTTGTTATATAATGTTCTTGTGTTCTTTGAATAAAATAGGCCTAATGAAAATATGTGGTCACAATGGGAGCTTATTGAAATGCAATTACAAAAAAACAGCGTTCATATTACAAATATATAGGTCTATAGGTTGTTTATTATATGATTGCGGGTAAGTCGTCCACCGATATCGTCACAGATGCCAGCAGGAGCCACAGGGTTCTCATCCACCTCCAGTGCCAATTCTCCTTGAAGGGGGATTCTCTTTTTCACACAGATGTTGTGCAGCAATGATCACGCAGACGCACTCAGGGTGCATTCGCATTTCACTGTGGAGGCAGTGAAACCTACAAAGAAAAGCAAAAAACAATTTAGCCTATCTACATTAAAAGGCTGGCCTTTTATATATTATAAAAATGACTTACTAACCTACGTTTGAGCACTCCAATGCAGCGCTCTACAATGTTCCTCCTTTGTGTATGCTTCTCGTTATAGCGGCGCTCTTGTGCAGTTCTCTCTGCGATGACAGGTGTCTTTAGCCATCGCTTCAGAGGGTATCCACTGTCTCCGAGAAGAAGACCATTCACTCTCCCTGCCTCAAATTCCCGTTGAAGGGCGCTCTCTCTCAGGATGCGAGCATCATGGGTCGACCCAGGCCATCTTGCAACGAGGTCGACAATGCCCATGTCCGAGTTGCACACAATTTGAACATTTATAGAATGGTAACCCTTTCTATTAACATACAAATACTCATGTTCAGAGAGGGCCTGAATGCGAACATGAGTACCGTCGATGCATCCGACAATACCAGGTATACCTGATTTTAACAAAAGATCTTGCCTGGATTTCGCTGCTTCTTCTTGTGTGGGTAGGTGAATATAGTTCCTAAGGCGGAGCTGGAGAGCCAATGAAACTTGTCTTATAGCCCGACATGCAGTTGTGCGATGAACATTAATCATGTCTCCCACAGTATTTTGAAAGGCCCCGTTCCCGTAGAATCTGAGCGCAATCAGCACCTGCAAGGTCGGGGAGAGCGCAGCATTTCGGTCTGATCCGTGCTGGAGTTGAGGGGAGATCTCCTCGATTAAATCAAAAAGGGCTTGTCTGCCGAAACGAAACCTCTATCAGTTCACTGTCTGAATAGATGTCCAGTGGGTTTGTTCCATCACGGACGACTCTTTCTCTTCTTAATGCCCTTTCATTGTTAAACATGTAAGCAAGACGCCCTGCCATCGTTAATATCCTTCTTGCCTGTTTTACGTTACTATGGATACTAGTCTGTCTTTCCGATTTACGCCTGCTCCATACTAGTCGTAAAAGTTACACCCGGGCGCAACGCATACAGGGCTTAAGTCTAAGTGGTGCACTAGTCATAACTTTAGTTTGGTCTTAACCTTCGGTTCTACGTCGGACGTAGAGTTACGCCCAGCTTACGCCCAGCTGGTGCACTCCACTCCGGGTCATCTGGGCCTCTGAGCCTCTGGTCCTCTGGTCTTACTGCAGAGAGACATCACCAACACAAAACAACTACAACTCCCAGCATGCTTAGCGGCAGGAAACTAAACCCTTTACAAAGGGGTAAAAGGGTTTAGTTAAAGGGTAAAAGGGAAAGTGCAATTTATTTTTCCCACTTTGTGACTTTATAAGCAGAATACATATTTGTGTTTTAAATGCTTTACAGTTACTGGTCGCCACATTTGATGTCTCGACATATAGCGTTTCCGTGGCAACGCATTCTTCACCATAAAACACGATATCGCTGCAACTCAAAGGAAAATGTTCCAATCGTCACCAAACTTCACATGTATATCACCGGTCCACGCCTCAAGACTTCGACACTCAAATGGTGTGGTTGAGACGTATGCTATTGCCACAACGTCGTCATAATTCAAAGGTTCCGTATATATTCCCGTAAGAGAAAATATGGCTCCACTCAAATTAATGTACCTATTGATTTTGAAGCATTTTGTGTTTGTAAATAAAGTTTCATTTCAATACAATTCACAGTTCTTATGTCTTTATAAATATTTCATTTAATTATTTTACAATACTAATGACTTTAAATTATGCTTGAATACATTTCCTAATTTTATTTTTACTTAAAGTTTTTATTGTATATTTTTACTTTCTTATTTTTATGTAAATATTTTTCGTATACATTATTTATCTGTCAGAAAATGTAATTTCCCTCAGGATAAATAAAGTATTGCTGATAATGATTCACTACAATACACCTGCACATCATTACAAATGATTATTTATTTATTTATTATTTAACTTTTACGCTTTTTAAAATCGTCCCCTTATTTATTTAATTTCTAATGAACTTGTATTTATTTTTATTAGTTCTCTACTGATCTGTAAAGATGAGGGTGAGAAGAGGATAAGTTAGAAAAGCACCAAACGGAAGGAGATTGTTTGAATGTGTGTGTGTGTGTGTGTGTGTGTGTGTGTGTGTGTGTGTGTGTGTGTGTGTGTGTGTGTGTGTGTGTGTGTGTGTGTGTGTGTGTGTGTGTGTGTGTGTGTGTGTGTGTGTGTGTGTGTGTAATAATCCGATAAGAAATAAGGATGTTATCCTGTTAGAGAGTAGCCGTTGCTCGAGGGTTTTCAGTGACAACATGGTTGAATGTCAGAGCCCATCTCTGCAGAGACTAATCGCATGAGGACACACACACACACACAAACACACACACACACACACCCACACACACACACACACACACACTTAAACAATCTTTAGTGTCCCCTGGTCTCCAGCTGTGTGCGTCACTCTTTAGTGTCCCCTGGTCTCCCAGCTGTGTGCGTCACTCTTTAGTGTCCCCTGGTCTAACTGCTGTGTGCGTCACTCTTTAGTGTCCCCTGGTCTCCCAGCTGTGTGCGTCACTCTTTAGTGTCCCCTGGTCTCCCAGCTGTGTGCGTCACTCTTTAGTGTCCCCTGGTCTCGAGCTGTGTGCGTCACTCTTTAGTGTCCCCTGGTCTCCCAGCTGTGTGCGTCACTCTTTAGTGTCCCCTGGTCTCCCAGCTGTGTGCGTCACTCTTTAGTGTCCCCTGGTCTCCCAGCTGTGTGTGTCACTCTTTAGTGTCCCCTGGTCTCCCAGCTGTGTGCGTCACTCTTTAGTGTCCCCTGGTCTCCCAGCTGTGTGCGTCACTCTTTAGTGTCCCCTGGTCTCGAGCTGTGTGCGTCACTCTTTAGTGTCCCCTGGTCTCCAGCTGTGTGCGTCACTCTTTAGTGTCCCCTGGTCTCCCAGCTGTGTGCGTCACTCTTTAGTGTCCCCTGGTCTCGAGCTGTGTGCGTCACTCTTTAGTGTCCCCTGGTCTCGAGCTGTGTGCGTCACTCTTTAGTGTCCCCTGGTCTCGAGCTGCATGTCTCCTCAAGCTGCTGAATGTTCTCTAAACGCTGCATGCGTTGTTGCTGGAGATGTTTCTTCATGTGGAACCTTTGGGTTTTTATATCTGCATCCTTTCTGAAGCTGCAGCGAGTTTGTCCTGATGGAAGAATTGAGGGAAATTTTGTTACCGGTGTATAAATAGATGAGTTTTTTTTTACTATGATCCTCTGATGCATGTATTAATTAGCCCACACTTAAAACAAAAAAAGCTGCAGTGTTAGCGTTGTTGGACTTGTTGACGTGTTGAGTAACATAATTGAACAGAAGTGCTCTTGTGGAGAATATTTTTAAAGTTGAAGAGCACCTGAGTTTGCAGAAGCAGCAGGTGAGTGTGTGTTGGAGTGTGTGTTGAGGCACATAATTGATTTGGGGTTGTGGATATTTACTCGAGCTCTCGGATGTTAGTCATGGATTTCTGCTGCTTTCTGCTGACGCGGCTGTTCTTCAGGTCAAAGAGTCACGCTTCAGTTTTCAGAGTTTTGCAGTTTTTCAACTTGAGTGGTTGTCAACGCTGTTGCCTTCTGACATCTGACTTCCTGTGAAGACAGATGCAGAAAAATCAATTTAAACAGTCCTCTCCTGCTGAAGTTCAGGTGTATATCAGTATGTAGTGTCTCTACTTTAAAGAGCCCTCTCCTGCTGATGTTCAGGTGTATATCAGTATGTAGTGTCTCTACTTTAAAGAGTCCTCTCCTGCTGATGTTCAGGTGTATATCAGTATGTAGTGTCTCTACTTTAAAGAGTGCTCTCCTGCTGATGTTCAGGTGTATATCAGTATGTAGTGTCTCTACTTTAAAGAGTGCTCTCCTGCTGATGTTCAGGTGTATATCAGTATGTAGTGTCTCTACTTTAAAGAGTCCTCTCCTGCTGATGTTCAGGTGTATATCAGTATGTAGTGTCTCTACTTTAAAGAGTTCTCTCCTGCTGATGTTCAGGTGTATATCAGTATGTAGTGTCTCTACTTTAAAGAGTCCTCTCCTGCTGATGTTCAGGTGTATATCAGTATGTAGTGTCTCTACTTTAAAGAGTCCTCTCCTGCTGATGTTCAGGTGTATATCAGTATGTAGTGTCTCTACTTTAAAGAGTCCTCTCCTGCTGATGTTCAGGTGTATATCAGTATGTAGTGTCTGTACTTTAAAGAGTCCTCTCCTGCTAATGTTCAGGTGTATATCAGTATGTAGTGTCTCTACTTTAAAGAGTCCTCTCCTGCTGATGTTCAGGTGTATATCAGTATGTAGTGTCTGTACTTTAAAGAGTCCTCTCCTGCTGATGTTCAGGTGTATATCAGTATGTAGTGTCTCTACTTTAAAGAGTCCTCTCCTGCTGATGTTCAGGTGTATATCAGTATGTAGTGTCTCTACTTTAAAGAGTCCTCTCCTGCTGATGTTCAGGTGTATATCAGTATGTAGTGTCTCTACTTTAAAGAGTCCTCTCCTGCTGATGTTCAGGTGTATATCAGTATGTAGTGTCTCTACTTTAAAGAGTCCTCTCCTGCTGATGTGCAGGTGTATATCAGTATGTAGTGTCTCTACTTTAAAGAGTCCTCTCCTGCTGATGTTCAGCTGTATATCAGTATGTAGTGTCTCTACTTTAAAGAGTCCTCTCCTGCTGATGTTCAGGTGTATATCAGTATGTAGTGTCTCTACTTTAAAGAGTCCTCTCCTGCTGATGTGCAGGTGTATATCAGTATGTAGTGTCTCTACTTTAAAGAGTCCTCTCCTGCTGATGTGCAGGTGTATATCAGTATGTAGTGTCTCTACTTTAAAGAGTCCTCTCCTGCTGATGTTCAGCTGTATATCAGTATGTAGTGTCTCTACTTTAAAGAGTCCTCTCCTGCTGATGTTCAGGTGTATATCAGTATGTAGTGTCTCTACTTTAAAGAGTCCTCTCCTGCTGATGTTCAGGTGTATATCAGTATGTAGTGTCTCTACTTTAAAGAGTCCTCTCCTGCTGATGTTCAGGTGTATATCAGTATGTAGTGTCTCTACTTTAAAGAGTCCTCTCCTGCTGATGTGCAGGTGTATATCAGTATGTAGTGTCTCTACTTTAAAGAGTCCTCTCCCGATGATGTTCCTGCCTGGTCACACTTGGTCTTTAAAATAATAAATGACATGTTGCCGGTACCGGGGGCATGGGGCTTAACTGGTTAAGTATTTGTACATCTCTTTTCCGCAGCAACACAATCAGATAATGCTTCACACATCTCGTCCTCTGTATTAAATCCATAGCTCACCTCCTCCTCCGTCCTCGCTTCAGATCCAATTTCATTTCTCAAGCCGCGACTCACCTCCCCTCACATAATGGAGCCAGTTAATGCTTCAATATTTCCTACTGAAGTGTACACATATAACCACATCTGGAGAAAAACACGTACAAAAAATGTGGGATTAATATTTTTTACTTGAGATGGATTATTTCTAACATGAAAAAAACATGAAGAATTCATATATGATAATAATATTTAAGTAATTAAAGTTGTCAAATAAATGTAGTGAATTAAGAAATACAATTTTTTTTTAAACGATTAATGGTATATTTTATTTCTTAAAATGCAAGAAAATAATAAATAAACAAATAAATCAAAAATGTATATAATAAAAAATAAAATATATTATAATAATC